GCAGCTACTGAATGACTCAAGATCTAGATCTGTCAGTGAGATCAAACATGGGTAGACAAAGAAACCCCCAAAGGAAAGAAAAGGAGGACTCGCCAGAAAAGCAGCTAAGTGATACAGAGGCATGGAACATGACAGAAACCGTGGCTGCTTCAAGGCCCGGAGAGGGAGGCAAGGCCCTAGCAGCGACTCGAGGGTGGGCGGCGCCGCGCAATTTTGAATCATGCACTGGGCTCCTAGTTGAGACGTAATTGACATAACATTATATAAGTTTCAGGTGTACAACATAATGATTCAATATTTAAAATAGAGAAATATTCTAATTAGCTGGGATGCCATAATGGGGTCGACATGACAGGAGGAGGTTGTGCGCACAGCGTTGGGGGCGGGGCGGCAGCGGCCTCCTCACACCTGCGCTGGGGGAGGGCCTGATCAGCAGCGGCCGGCCGTGGCTGCTTCAAGGCCCGGAGAGGGAGGCAAGGCCCTTTCAGGTGTACAACATAATGATTCAATATTTGTACATATTACAAATGATCACCACAATAAGCCTAGTTAACATCCATCACCACACAGGATAGAATTTTTTTTCTTGTGGTAAGAACTTATTGATTTCAGAAAGGAAGGGAGAGGAAGAGATAGAAACATCAATGATGAGAGAGAATCATTGATCAATTGCATTCTCTATACCCCCTATTGGGGATCAAGCCTGCAACCCAGGCATGTACCCTGACCTGGAATCCAGCCATGACCTCCTGGTGCATAGGTGACACTCAACCACTGAGCCAACACCGGCTGGGCTTCTCCATCATTTTGAAGAAGAGGCTCCACAAATAGGAAGCTGGGGCACTCAGCCACCCGCTGCTGGAGAGTTGGCTAAGGGGAGCTTGTCGCTGAGCCAGTGGTCTGGTCTGAAGAGAGCTGCCTGGCCCGAGGTCACACCGTCTCCCCAGGGGCCTGGAAGGCAAGGGGGGCTTTAGAGCACCAAGACTGTGCCCTTGACCAGAATTAAACCTGGGACCCTTCAGCCCATAGGCCGACACTCTATCCACTGAGCCAAACCAGCTAGGGCATAATATTATACTGTTTCTTTTTACCATCTTCCCCCATTTCTCCCACCTTACCCTCATTGTCTAATACCCCCTGCACCCTGATTCTGGCAACCACCAATACCTTCTCTGTGTCTGTGAGTTCAATTGGCTTCTTTTTTTCTAGATTCCACATATCAGTAAGATAATACGGTATTTGTCTTTCTCAGACTTATGTCATATAGCATAATGCCCTTAAGTCCATCCATGTTGTTGTAAATGGCAAGATTTCTTTCTTTTTTTAATCAGTGATATTTGGTATATTAGTTTGGCCTGCTTTAACGAACTTCTACAGGTGGGGTGACTTAAATGTCAGAAATTTATTTTCTCACAGTTCTGGAGTCTGGAAATCAGAGACAAAGGTGCTGGCAGGTTAGTTTCTTCTGAGGCTTCTTTCCTTGGTTTATAGATGCTGCCTTCTTGCTGTGTCCTCACATGGTCTTCTCTCTCAAGATTTCTTTTTTTATGGCTGAATAATATTCCACATTTTCTTTCTTCTTTAAAATGTTTATTTATTGATATGAGAGAGAGAGTGAGGAAGGGGAGGGAAAGAAGAGAGAGAAAAACATCGATTTGTTATTCTACTTATTTACACATTCATTGGTTGCTTCTTGTATGTGCCCTGACCGGAGATGGTATCTGAAACCCTGGTATAACGAGATGATGTTCCAATCAACTGAGCTACTTGGCCAGGGCTACCCCACATTTCTTTATCTATTTGTCCATCAATGGACATGTAGGTGGTTACCCTATCTTGGCTAATGTAAATAATGCTGCAGTGAACATAAGGGTGCATATGTCTTTTTGAGTCAGTGTTTTTGTTACCTTTTAAATAGTGATGGAAGAAATCAGGGCTCAAGAAAGTGAGGTGGGGGCGGTTTGACCATATAGCTGTTCATATGGAATTATAATGTCCAGAATAGGGGAAGTAAAAACCCTGCTTCTCTCTTATGTGTTTCTTGGACCAAATGTGATGAATAGTATTTGGGCCTGGGCACCATATCTTAAGGGGAGTCATTGATAATACAAATAGAGTAGCCAAGGATAAAAGCCAAATCCTACTTTTTTAAAGAAATTATCAATGACAAAAAAAAAAAAGATGTTTAATCTGGAAAAGGCTTGAAGAGGTGTCACTGTCTTTACATAAAGATTTGCTTGTGAGAGAGAAATTGAACCAACTCTAGTTTTGAAAGAAGAATCCAGGATCAGTGGTAGGAGATAAAAGAAGAACCCATTGGGCTGAGGTTAGAATGGATAGCTTCTCAGTGGGGAATAAGTCCGAGGTATGTATGGAAGCAGAAGCTGGAGAACGACTGTGGAAGAAACTCATTTATCCAGGGTTGGACCAAATGAGAGACCATGATCCTAAATCTCATCAGTTTATTGGACAGAAAGAGTAACACCCTCGCTTCTCAGCATTATTTATCTATTGGAACTGGATTTTTACACCTCTGCTTGGCAGTTACAGGTTAGCAACGCACTAGAAAAAAAAATGTACTTCTCCATGTATTTCAGAAATTTTAGAGTGAGCCCTTGAAATGCTCTGCGTGTTACATGTATGAAGGATACTGGCTGGAGGCGGTGGCCCATCCTTGGTACAGCTGACTCCCGTAGGACCTGGAGTGGCCAGAGTGCAGGACTTGGTCATGAGAAGGGGAGAAAACTGGAAGTTTAGGTGGCCATTTGTTTAATTGTTACTCCTGCTATTTGGGTCATTTCTGTTTTACGGGCCCTTCTAGTTGAGGTAAGAGTTATTTGTTTTGGTCATTTCTAAGACTGTTTTAGTAGACTGCAGTGACTGTGGGCTAACTAGGATTCTCAAAGAAGTAATAGGCCAGGAAAAAACACACCACACCTCACAAATGAAATGGCCTCATGGAGACCTAGAACAACAACACGCAGTGGAAATATAATGTGAGCCACAAATGTAAGATTTTCTAGTAGCCACATTAAAAGAAACAAAAACAAATGGGTGAAATAAATTTAAATAATGTATTGTGTTTAACGCAATAAAAGGTAACATTTATACATGTAACTGGTGACTTTCATTGGCTTTGTTTCATTTTTCTGTGTTTCTTGGATTTAAAGATTTAAAAACTGACCAATGAGCCCAGCTGGTGTGGCTCAGTGGTTGAGCATTGACCTATGAACCAGGAGGTCACAGTTCGATTCCTGGTCAGGACACATGCCTGGGTTGTGGGCTTGATCCCCAGTCAGGGGCATGCAGGAAGCAGCTCATCAATGATTCTCTCTCATCATTGATGTTTCTCTCTCTCTCTTCCTCTCCCTTCCTCTCTCTGAAATCAATAAAAACACACACAAATATTTGGAGTCTAAAAAACAAAATAAGTGAACAAAAAAACAAATAATTTCATGGATGCAGAGAGCAGCCTGGTGATTGCCCGATGTGAGAAGGTGGGGGCTGGGTGGGAGAGGTTGGGGGATTGGAGGTACAGGTTAGCAGTTGCAGAGTGGTTACAGGGATGTAAAAAAGAAGGGTTAGGCCCAACTGAACTGGAGTCAGTGCGTTTCAGACTTTTGCTGACTGTAGAGAATGTTGAACAAATGATCAAAAGATGTGTTTACACTGTAGAGTGAAATGGTTGCTCCCATATGCTGGTGGCATTTAAAGCCAGGCAGTCCTGGCTCTGCTACATACAGTCTGTGTAACTTTGGGCAAGAGGTCTGATTTCTCTGAGCCTGGTTCTTCATCTGTATCTTGAGAATAAACTCTCTTCTTGTTGGGCTGTTAGATGTATTGGAGTACACAGATTGCACCGGGTGCATTGTAGGAACTCTTTAAAAATGTCCAGAGGAGGAGCAGACTAACTTCTTAAATGTTTATCTTTGAGGTTTTAGTGCTATTATTTTAAAACTTCTGTGTGTAACCAAAAAACGCCAGGAACATTTGGCTTTGAAGGTGCAAAGATAATTTTTTGCTAGCAGTCAGGTTTGTGGCCCACAGAGGGTGCCCTCGGCTGGGCTGCAGCCGTACTTAGCAATGTGCTATCTGTAGAGCCCTAGGTGGTTGGTTTCTCTCTCCTGTCATTAGGAAGCAGCATCTGTGACTAGCTGAAAGCCTGGCCTCCTGTCGCTGTAGACTGGTCTGGAAACAAACGGTCTCCTGTCCCGTGGTTCTGGAATGCTCTACTTCTGCTGCTCATTCTAGTCTCTCCTCAAGACCCACTAACTAGAAAAGGCACTCCCTCAGGGAAGCCTTCCCTGCCCCTTTCCTCTGCCACAGAAGCAGCCACTTGTGCTCCTGCTTGGGTAAGAGCATCTCCTCCGCGGCATCCTCGCTGTTTGTGCGGATCTCCCCGACTTTGCTCACATCTCTGCGCCCCCCCGCTGCACACACTGAGAGGTGAGAATGTGAACTAGACATCTGCCTAGCCTCCTCATTCTGTGGGTTCCAATCTAATGCTGAATAAGGAGCAAATGAAAGGGAGAGCAAATGAGTGGGAGAGAAAAGAGTATTACTCTGCTTGCCTAATACTTTCTACAAATATTTAATATTTTTAGCAAATAAAGAAAATTATCCTGCAGCTTTGCACAAAGTGTATTTTCTTCTTTCTCAATTCTGGTTCAGTTTTTACTGTCTACAGGGCAGGAATCCTGCCCCCAATTCCCGCCCCTCCCCGCCTCCTACTTTTCTAAAGGGCAAATATTCGTGGCCTCCCTTGCTGAACGCACTAGAAAACACTTAGGGAGTGGTGTTGGCGGTGGGAGTTGTTAGTCATCTGACTGTGTAAGGTCAGTATAACCTCTTCACGCGTTTTGAAGATTGAAATTGTACGTTTTAGTTCAGGTCTAGAAAAGTAAAGTTAGCAGCTAAGGACATTCGCCAGAGTCATTTTAGCCAGGAGAGGCTTTGATGATGGATCCACAAAATGTATTTGGCTACAACTTGAATTCTTTGTATAATTGCTAAACTCCAAACACACCTCTAGGCTCTTATGCCAGTTTTCCCCAGGCCCTTCTTTGCCTGGAGGCATCCTGATTACCTTTGAGCAACACTCCCCTCCATTATTGGGTCAGCACCTCCACCGTCCCCCCCCCCCGCACCTCCCCCACACACAGAGTTGACCTTTGTCCTCCATGCCCTGGTGCTCTGTTCACCTCACAGATAGTCCTTACCTTCTTGTTAGGGTTTATTGCTTGGGCATCATGGGAACTGACAGAATGCAGAGGCCTGATGGTCCGCTGAGCTTCCTATGTTCTCGAGTCTCAACCAGCACAGTGCTTGGCTTCAGCTTGAATTTGATTCACTTATGTTGCTGGTATAAAATAAATATAGAGCTGCTTTCATACAAATCCAGAAGTTTTCTTCTCTCCAAGTCAGACAGCTTACAACAGACCGACAGAATCCCCGGCTGCTTTACAAAGCCTTTCTAGAAGGTATGTAAACCATCATCATGAGTCCTTAGCAATGTCCAGCACTGGATGTATTACATTTTTTTCTTCCAAGTTAATAGCTTTATTGAAATATTATTTACATACCCCCAAATCGAGGTATGTAATTCAGGTATATCATTCACACCCTGTAAAATTCACCAACTTCACCATTCCAAGTGTACAATTCAATGATTTTTATTATATTTACAGAGTCATGCAACTAAGATCCCAATCTAATTTTTTAAATTGTTGACAGTATTACCAATATCCCCTAATTATGTCCCCTTTTTGCTCCCTTCCTCCCAGCCCTTGCCCCACCCCAGGCTGTCACCACACTATTGTTTATGTCCATTGGTTATGCATAAATGCATATAGGTCCTTTGGTTAACCTCTTTCCATCTCCCTCCCCTCCCCTCTGAGATATGTCAATCTGTCCCATGCCTCCATGCCTCTGCACCTATTTTAGAATATTTTTATCACTTCCTAAAGAAACCTATGTCCATCTATAGCTACTTTCTATTTCCACACCCAACCCTTACTTTTCTGTGTGGGTTTGCCCTTTCTGGACATCTCATATACTAGTAAATTGAATCATGTTTTTTTTTATGTCTGGCTCCTTCCAACTAGTGGAATCTTTTTGAGGTTCATCAATGTAGCATGAATCAGTGCATCCCTCCTCTATGTGGATGACTACTATTCTATTATATGGATAAACACTTTGTTTATCCATTAATCCACTGACAGGTACTTGGGTTGTTTCCACTATTTTGCCATTATGAATAATGCCGCTATGAACATCCCTGAACAAATCTTTGTATAGACACGTTTTCATTTTTCCTGGGTAGATCCCAAGAGTGAAATTGCTGGCTCATATGGTAACTCTATGTTTAAAATTTCAAGGAACTGCCAACCTGGTTTCCAAAGCGAAGGCACTATTTTACATTTCCACCAGCAGTATACGAGTGTTCCAATTACTCCTCATCCTCACCAACACTTGTTATTGCCTGCCTTTTTACGTAAGCCATTCTAATGGGTGTAAAAGAATATCTCACTGTGATTTTGACTTTCATTTCTCTAATTATTATTATTGGAGAATTGAGTGGATGGAATTTCTCCGTTGCTAGTGGAAGTGGGGTTCTTGGGGTGCTGATGGAATAAGAATTTCCAGAGGCCTCTACGAGAGCATGAGATGTGGTAGAAAGCTTTATTTGCGTGAACTTATATCCCTTGGTTTCCAAAGTCCCATTTCCCTTAAACCAGTCCTGCAAAAGGTGCAGCTGGGGTGTTAGTAGAGCTAGAAGCAAAGCCAGTGTCAGAGTTTCCCTTCCATGGTGAAGCTGGGTCCAGTGTAGCATCAGACTAATTCCAGCCCATCAGTCCATTGTGTGGGGCCACACGGCTGTGGGCCATGTGGGCGAGTGCAAGGTTTGAGAGCCCTACAAGCCAGGAGTCAGGCTCGAGCAGCAAGAGAGAAGAGGGCCAAGAGAGGGAGCTATCTTTGTTCAGGAGCTGATGTATCTCAGATTTCGTGCTCTTGCAGTGGCCACGCCCGTTCTGGCCAGTGACCTGCTCCCAGGTGTGACAAACAAGTAATCACTGTTCTTACGTCATTCAGACCTTACGGGCATGCGTCCAAATTGCAGCTTCCCTTTGCTCCTGTCCAGTTATTAATAACTGGATTACATGAAAATAGTGTCATAATGAACAATGATGTTGAACATCTTTTCATGTGCTTGTTGGTCATTGACATATCTTCTTAGGAGACGACTAAGTGCCTTTAGAGGATGAAGAGATGAAATTGTTTAACATTGAATTAGGGACACACTGCATGGCCAAAATGTTAATTTAGGTTTCTACCTCCTCTAAGCAATTAGCTAAGCCTCATTCAAAAAATAAAGCAACCCATTTAATCAAGATACTGTCCTAATATGTAGTTACTATAATTTGACCCCTTTTCTAAGGTTTTATGCAAACTATAAGTCCTCCTCCTTTTAAGTATCAAATGATTGCAATTCCCTCCTTTCTAATAAAACCAATCAACTATCTTTAGTCTATCCTATCAACATAAGAAATGTCTAAACCTACAGAAAATTTTTATCACAGTTTATTTGAGCAAACTGATGACATTTGCTGGGAAGCAAAATCTCAAGTGCTCCACAAAATAACAGTTTTTCAGTTTCTTCTATGCATCTGGAATTAAGGTGGGAATGGAAAGAGGATTACATGAAGGTGGGGAAAAAGCAAGACAGGGATTGGATTACAGGATAGTCCATAAGATTATATGTTCTCTCAGGGTGGTCACACTTCTGTGGGGTCTTTATTTTTTAAAACACATTTTTAAATTATATTTAGAGAGAGGAAGAGGAAAGAGAGAGAGAGAGAGAGAAACATCCGTTTGTTTCTCAACTTATTTATACATCCATTGGTTGGTTCTTGTATGTGCCCTGACCGGAGATCGAACCCACAACCTCAGTGTATCAGGACGATGTCCTAACCACCTGAGTACCAGCCAGGCAGTGTGTTAACCTAGAGAAGCACAAAAACAATGGACAGGGCTTGCTTAAATTTTTTGTTTTTTTTTTACTAAAGAAGTTATAGGTCTGGGGCATGACAACTCACCATCACCTGCCCAGTTAGGAATTCATGATCAGATCGCCCTGGGAGGTTACTGTTAGTGAGATGTATGACAAAGCCCCTTGTACGTCCACAGCCCACATCCTCCCAGCTTTCTAAGCAGTGAAATGAAGGGCTGTGCCGGAGTCCTAATATTTTTGTGGCTTTTACTTTTTGTTTCTTCCATTTTACAAGATTCACTCCTTGGCTGTGATCTCCTTTCGCATGTGTGCATTGATTGGCCTGTGCTAGCTACATTTGACCACCTAGAAACCTCGGAGGGGCTTGTTTAATCCACATCACTTTGTTGCTGAAAATACGAATTCCTGTGTTACTGAGCTTGACAGATTTAGACAATGTCTGACAGGATTTCACAATCATTTGTTTTTACCTCAGATGATTTACAAATGTGTTCACAGCTTTCTCCTTATTAGGAATGAAGCGAGCTCCAAATTCCTATCATCTTTGCAATCTTAACTAATCTCTGCGTAGCTTTGGAGAAAAATTCGAACATTTTTTATGAAAGATAAACCAGCCACCTTTGTAGAACTGTCCATTCAAATGCCGAGGCATGTGCAGCTCTTTTTAGTTGCCTTTGAGAGTTTACAGGATGCAGTTCTGCTCTGCAAGACTCCAGCATCTTCGGTCTCAGGGACCAGCTCTGTGAGAGACAGGGTTTAAGACGATTCTTGCTCTCCAGATTCAAAGCCATAAAAGGGAAGGTTAAGCTAGGAGGGGAAATGAAATCAATGACAAGGCAGAACTGAGAATAAAATTCATTGCTATGATAAGTCACTATTGACAAGAAAATAGAAACCTGAGCTTGTTCTGAAGGTCATAGATTAAGCCTGTCAAACTCAAAGGCTAACACGGGCCACATAAACAAGGTTTAAGTTTATGTGGGCCGCAAAAAAACAAAAGCTTCATTTTTCATAGAAACATAGTTTTATTTCGATAGAGACATGCTGAATACAAAGGGCTGAAATAAATGAGTAATTGTTAACATAAAATAAAACATTTTAATAAAAATTAATATTTTTTTGAGCATTAACTCACCAGACACTGAATAACTACACAAATTAACAAGCAGAACACAAATAAACCTACTTTTCTTGTTCTGCGAAAGCAAAATATTTCCTGTTGTGCACAGCAAACAAGTCAGTCCAAGACTAATGACGTGGCAATCAGCTGCTAAAATATTCGCTGCTAGTATTAGTGGAGAGAAATGGTGTGCCTGCGTGTAAGGTGTATAAGGGAAATGAATGCAACATGAGTATAGTAATCAGTCATTAGTGAATGCTGTAGTTGGTTATTAATAATTATGTATAACAGGATATTGTAAAAATTAAGGTTAAAATTTTTATTACATTTTTGTTACATACCATTATATTGGCTGGGCCGCAAAAATATTCGCTGTGGGCCACATGTGACCCGCAGGCAGTGAGTTTGACATGCTCGTAGTAGATCCTTATTCATACATGGTGCAACTAGAAAGAGCTCCTATTTCCAAAATGTGTGGAGTGCTTTTAGCTCATTC